ATTTTTCTAAGAACTAAACATTAAATAAATATAGAACATTTTCAGAAAAATTGAAGCAAGGCTTAAATAATTCTAGCCATTTGGCACTTTGGGCAAAAAATTGCATTTGAAGAAGCATATTATTCAATTAGGGACTGGCTTGTAGTAATTATGCCCACTTATCTAATGGAGAACTATTTCTTTGAGAATCAAATGTATACATTCCTTTTCCCTATATTTCAGGAAACAAAATCTTCACCAGTCAAATTTTTAATATCATGGAGAAACTTTTTTAAAAAAAATTTCCAGGGCAATGTTGGTGAATATAGGAATAGATGGTCAGTTGCTTCCTTTTATTCTCAACAGATTTTCTGCCTGTGGGTGACTCATTAAACTGAGAAAAAATTTAGAGCCTCTTTATTACTGATGGTTCATTTGCAAAAAGCAAACTATTGCAGTGGCCGTAAGAAGCCTTCTCATCAAAGGATTCCAAAGACACCTTATCTCTTAGGGAACATTTTGATTTGTATGCTTGTTTTTTAACTTTACATTTTGGAAAATTTCATATATCTTCCAAAGTACATAGAATAGTTTAATGAATTCCAATTTGTCATTCACCTCGCTTCAGTAATTATCAAGTTATGGCCAGTGTTGTTTTAGCTATACTTGTGTGCTGTTGTAATCTTTTTACCTCAAATTATTTTGAAACAAATCCTTGTCAACATATGATTTCATCTGTAAATACTTTCACATATACCTCTACAAAATAGAAGATCCTTTAAAATGTAACCATGGTACTGTTGCCACACCTACAAAAATAAATATTGATTCATTGATATAATCAAATACATACCAATATCTGATTTTTTCCCTTTTTTATGTTTTTCTGTTTTTCATAAGGGGAAAACTTATATACAGTAGAGAACTTTTACAGTGTGAACATCAGTGTAACTACCAACCAGATAAAGTTACAGGACATTTCCAGCACCTCAGCACCTTCCCTTCGGCTCCTTCTCTGTAGATATTCCCCCAAGGTAACCACTGTCCCGACCTTTGTCCATCACTAGAAGTCTGAATAGTGATTTTGAACTTCATAGAGATGGAACCATTTGGTATATACTCTTTTGTATCCAGCTTTTCACTCGACATTATGTCTGTGAGATTAATTCATGTTATTGCAGTCAGCGTAGTTCTTTTCCATAGCTGTGAACTATTCCATTGAATGAATATGCTGCGATTACTAGATCCATTCTACTGTTGGACATTGATGGACGTTTGAATTATTTTCAATTTGAGGCTACCGTGAATAATACTACTATTAACATACTGTACATATCTTTTGGGGGAACATAATCGTTCAGTGCTGTCATGCACATGTATATGCCCAGGAATGGAATTACTAGGTCATGGGGTTGGCATATGTTTAGCTTTAGGAGACACTGATAAGCAATGTGCAAGAGTTCCAGTTGCTCCACATCCTCACTGACAGTTGGTATAGCCAATCCTTTTTTTATAATTATGGCCAATCTGATGAGTATAGTTATATCTCATTTTGGTTTTAATTCGTATTTCCCTGGTAACTAATAATTTTCAGCACTTTCTAATATGTTTATTGACCTTTGGATACCCTCTTTTTTGAAGTGCCTATTCAAGACTTTTGGCCATTTTTTACTGGGTTGTCAGTCACTTTTTATTGATTCGTGGGTGTTTGTTATATATTCTAAAGAGGAGCTCCTTGGTGGATATCTGTATTGCAAATCTTTTTATCTCTTGTGAGTGAACAGCACTTCTTAATGTTAATTAAGTCTTGATATCTGGCAATGTACGTCTCCAGCTTTGTTGTTGTTTTTCAAATTCGATTTGACTATTTTAAATATTTTGCTTTCCCATATAAATTTTAGAATCAATTTTTCAGTGCATGAGTACACACACAGGGATTTTGCCTAGAACTGCATTGACTCTGTAGTTCCATTTAAGAGAAATTAACATCTTAGTAAAATTGAGTTTCCAAATTCATAAGAATTGTGTATCTCTTTGTTTAGATTAATGGTTCACAACCAGGGTTGACTCTGCCTCCCAGAGGACATTTGGCAATGCCTAAAGACAGTTTGGTTGTCACATCTTTGTTGGGGGGATGGTGTGTGCCACTGGCATCTTGTGGGTAGAGGACAGAAATGCTGCTTAGCGTCCTACAAGGCACAGGACAGCCCTACATGAATTATCCAGCCCAAAATGTTCAGAATGCCACTGTTAGGAAATCCTGATTTAGGTCTTTAACTTCTCTTAGTAATATTTTGAGTTTTCAGTCTGGAGTATTACACATTTTTGCTAGATTTTTCCTTAGATGATATTTTGGTTCTATTGTGACTGGTAATTTTTAAATTTCATTTTCTAATTGTTAGTGTGTGTATATGTATGTGTTTATATATACATGTGTATGTGTATATATGTGTATGTACATGTTTGTTGTTTTCTATGCCTCTGATGTGTGTCTTTATGTGATTTCATTGTTTCTTATGTCTTGTTTTTAGAAGTTCCCCTCGGTCTTTTTTGTTCTCTAGTTTTTATTGTTGTTGAAGAAACTAGGATTTTTGTCCTGTAGAATTTCCCACAGCTTGGGTTTTGCTGGTTCTGTCACCATGGTGTTGTGTTATGTGTTCTCCTGTCCCTGTCTTTTTGATCATTGCCAACATCCATTAATTCACTAGGAGCTGCAGCAGGGTGACATTCTAGTCCTATCATTTGCTTTTCATATATGAGTATAGGCTACTTCTGTAAAGAGGAATCCTCCCCCAACCCCATGCCCAGACTCTGAATTCATAGAGAAAAAGCAGGGTAAGTGCTTATCCTTTCCCTTTTTAAATCAATTTTCAAAATACCGAGTTGCTTCCCTGTGGTCCTCCATAGGCAACCAGTGAGGTTTTGTTTTTTTTTTTTTTAATTAGAAGTATTATTATAAACTCATGATTTAAACTTATTTGATATTATAGTCCATTGCTGTTTTTTCCCCTCAAGGATGATCAAGTTGTTCCATCTTTGGCTAGTGGGAACCTTTTCAAGACCCTAATGTATTTTTTAAATTTCCCTACTTTATGCTGTAACAGGGTATTTCAGGCTCTTTTTGAACATTTCTTGTCCCTTACCTGGAATCAGCCATTTCTTCAAGGAGCAATGGTATCTTTCCCTTAATGCATTGGGAGAGGATGCCAGGCATGTGCAATGCCACTGGGTGGTCATTGTTTCTACACTTTTTCAGTGGACAGAGGTAGGAAATGTGTATTGTTTTAAAGATAAAAAATACGGTGAGTTTGCAATGATTCTTCCAGTTTGTATTCTGGACTATATTTTAATTCACTTCATCTTTTTTCCTATGCACAAACTCCTGGTTCTCAACAAACACCAAAACGCTTATTCACAGCTTTCTCACAAACTACTCACCCAGTAGCCTTAGAATAACAGTACCCACTTGTCCAGTAAGAACATGATTACATGATTACTGAAAATAGATGAAGTTGTTTGGTCTTTTTTGTTTTTAGGCCATCTTTTGGAGTCTGTTTTTAAGGGTATTTCACAATAGGGATATACTGTCAGATTGCTGTGTTTTCAAGTCACTTGGAATAGTTCCTTGCTGTGTGGTTATGTTACCAACCAGATTTGCATTTAGGTATGTATAATTCACTTTCTTCTGATTTTTAGGATTGCATTATTAAATTTTGATTCAGTATTATTATGTATTATATTTACATGGTTCCAAAGTCAAATCTGCAAAACAAGGTATATACAAGGGAGCTTCATTTCTATCCTTTTTCCTTCTTGCATGTTCCCCCTCCCTCATCTTATAGGTATCCATTTAAAAAAAAAATGTTATGGGCGGTCCTACCATGGTTTTTTCATCAGCAAATATGTATATGTTTATGTCCTTCCTTCTTTTAAATAAGTGGGTTTTTCATTATGTGGCCTGTTTCCCTGGCCCCATTTTTTTGTATATGTTCTGTTGTTTAGAAAGGTTCGTATTTTGGTCCTTAGTGCTTATTACCTTTCTACTCAGCCTTTACGTAGGGCCCCACTCCCCTCTCGTTTGCTTGTTGTCTGTCGGTTTCTCATATGAGCAATATTGAAATGAGCAGGGAGCCTCTTCCTTCTCCCCAGCTCTAGTGTTGATTGAAGTGATGATCCTTGCACTCTCTGGGAACATTTCCAAATCTCCAAAATGAATACATTTTGTGTAGAGACACATGCATGAGCTTCTTTCATTTCTCAAATGGCAAAGTGGTTAAACATGTAAGCAAGGAAAGAGAAAAGAAGGGAAAAGACATAGTAATAAGCATGTGATTACAAAGTGTTTGTTCCTGAAAAGCAGAGTTCTGTGTCATTTCATCCTTCACTGATGCATATTTGCCGAATGCTTGCACTGCGTCAGGCATGTATGATATAAAATATATAATATAATAGGAGAGGAAAATGTAATGTTATGTTTATATAGTGCTACGGAATGAGAAACACTAACATGTGTTTTGGGGCAGATTGTAGGGATGACAGAGACTTCATAGTAGCATGCTGTTTTGTTTTTTGTTTTGTTTTTGAGACAGGATCTCACTCTGTCGCCCCGGATAGAGTGCAGTGGCATCATCATAGCTCACTGCAACCTCCAACTCTTGGGCTCAAGCAATCCTCCTGCCTTGGCCTCCCAGCATGCTAAGATTACAGGCGTGAGCCACCACACCCAGCCATAGCAAGCTGTTTGACCTAGGTTTATGGGTATAAAAGTTTACTGAGGCAAGCTCTGTTATAATTTGACTTTATTGTCTGCCTTACGTTGCAGGATCAGGAGCAGCTTTTATCCTGGTGTATTGAGCTGTGAACCACCTTGCCTCTTTAACTTCTTTCTTAGGGTAATTTAACCTGCTTGATGACCCTAACTTCTTCTATCCAATTAATAGGGTTATGTAAGGATCCTTATATATGAAGTGCTTTTCAAATAAGACTTTACTGAATATAATTTTGTTTTGTTTCCTTAACAGAAATCATAGCCCTTTAATGAGTTTTGGAGCCAGCTTTGTCAGTTTTTTGGTAAGTTGATATTGGAAGAGATATTGGCATGAAGGGAACAGATAAAGTCTGTCGGTGGCTACCAGCTATATAGCTACGCTGTTGTAGAAAATCTTTTAGAGTTTAAAATGGAAATAAAGTTTTTGCCTGTTAACCAATGCCTGTGAGATAACCTTTCTTCAATAATTTAAAAAAGAAAATGCTTATATCTTGTTTCTAGAGTATTATATTTTTTCCAATCAAACTCCTTTTTAGAATAAAATGTAATTAAAAGATCTTAAAAAATTAAAACTGGATTGGTGAGGGGAAAGGTCTGGCTTTGGGTGATAAACATTTGCACTAAATCATTGAGTGAATGTGGACCAGAAGACAAGTTAGATGAGCAGAGCTAAAGTTCATGAGTTAGTATTACATTTCCAAATACTAGTATTTGGGAATTGAGGAAATAGCTTGCAGTTAGGTTTTAAACTAAATTGGGCAATGTAGGAAATGGCATGCTTTCATTTTTCAGAAACACTTATAATATCACACAAACTACTTTCAAATACATATTTAAAAAAAAAAAACTATCATAGCATTGTATAGCAGCAAGAAAAAAAAGTCATGAGTGCAGACCAAAATTGAGAAAGCATTGAGATTTGAGATTTAGAAGGATGCCAGCAAATGAGCATGTTATGCACATCCTGGTGGTGCCCATCCAGGCCAGCTTCTGTTGAGAAGAGTTTTTATTCCAACTGTTTATTTCCTCTTGTTGCCAGTTAATGCAACAAGAATGTGAAGGCCTACTGTTTGCAAGAATACATAGTTCCCAACCTCAAGGAAAATGATACTGGGTAGGAGTGGCAATTAATATGCAAGTGACTGCAAAGGGCTGTAAGGGAGATGGAACCAAAGGGTCTTGGTTGAGCCTGGTAGTGGAGGAGGGGTTGGGAAGTGAGGCTGTGGCAGGGTGGAGATTGCAGCAGCCTGAGAGGATGGTTGGGAAGAAGAGTGTGGTAGGGAGGCTCAGGCACAGGTGACCGTGGTCTGGTGTGACTAGAATGGAAAAGTAGGTTAGCATTAAACCGAGGAGGCCTAAAATACCAAGGTAGGGCAGGTGGAGTTTGATAGGGACTAGAGAGCCAGAGACAATAAGTTCATTAGGTCATTCCAAGAACCAGGTATCCTGCAGCGACTCTGTCTCTACCCCTGTAGCCCATTCATCTCAGAAACCTCAGATCTACTGGGTGAAAATCGCTGGTATTCAGCAGAGATTCAGTAGGTTGGCTCTACCCAGTCAAATGTGGTCTGACAAAATCTACCAGCATCAGGTGCCTGGAAACAAGCTGTCAGTGGAATTTTTATCCACAGACAATATAAAATGAACCCCTTATAAGTGAACCCCCTGGAATTACTGTTCCTGGAAAGACCGAAGATTTTCAAAAGCACCTACCAACTGTTGTTGCATTAGCATTTCTGTGCAGTACTTGGGGGAACCAGGAATCCATGTGTGGGTAGAATGAACTTTTGAATGAGACACTGTTAGAAAAACTGAAGTGAGCAGAGCAATCAGAAATTACACAGAATTTTTGTTGCTGGCTTAATAACAGCAACAACAAAAATTATAGAATAATAATTTCAGGGACGTTCGTTACCATATATTTTTTCATGCTGATGTGATAGAGGAATATTCTTATTTCATAGTGAGTGTTCTTTCAATGAATAGGGTATACTGTAACATTTTGATTCTTTTACTTGCAACAAGTAATTTAAGTGGAGTTTTTTTTTTCTAGTTTGGAGTTTTGTTTTAGTAAATTGGCCTAAATTTTCAGATGTTTCCTGATTCATTCATTTTTTTTTTTTTTATTTTTTGAAAGAATGCCATGATGACATTTGAAGAAGAAAAAATGCAGTTGGCATGTGATGACTTAAAAACTACAGAAAAGCTGTGTGAAAGCGAAGAGGCTGGAGTCATTGAAACAATCAAGAATAAAATTAAGAAGAACGTACGTACCGTGGCTTTGGGTTATGGACTGTGTGCCACTTACTTAGAACATCACTTAGTTCTTCCTAGATGTCATTTTCCCCAAGGACTCCAGCCTGAGGCTCTAAGCCCTGTTGAGTATGTTTCCTTGCAGTTCACTGTACTTTACCCTCTCAGAGCACTTACTACATTGCATGGTAATGAGGTCTGTATTTCCTCATTAGACTGTGAGCCTATTTACATGTCCTTGGTATCTAGTATCATGCCTAGCACATATGTTAATAATTAACATTTGTCATGGGTCCTTGCAATTTAAAAAGCATTTTCTTATACAGTATGTCATTAGCCCTCCTGACAACTCTGCACAGTAGATGTAATTACAAACAAAGAAACGGAAGTATTGGGAGGTGGACATTTTCCCAAATGAACGGAATAATGAGTCCTGGGGCTAGATTTGGAACAACAGTGACCATGATGGATTTTGCTAAAATCTAAAAAAAAGGGAAACAGGTCTCTCCATCGTGTATACTATGATACTGTTGGTATATTTGCAAAAATCCTATCAGTTCTTATGTCATTGTGATAGCACATGAAAGCTTATTTTATTAAAGTTTACTTTGTATTAAGAATGGAGAGCGTTCTATTCCAGAGAGATTTTTCTTCATCTTAAAAACATTCTTAGGATAAAGACCAACATTTTATAAAAAATGGTTTGATTTTTTTGCTTATTTTTGTTTATATGGCTTATATATCAAGTATAATTTATGATTTATTCAAAGCTAATTTTAATTTCAGGATATTTTCTCCTTAATGGAAATATAATCTGTTTTTGACCCTCAAACCTCAGTCACATGCACCAAAAGAGCTCCCTAATATTAGGAGCTCCCTATATAGAGCTCCCTACCTCAAGAGAGATGGCTGCCAACTGACTTTTCAGGTTATCTACTTTGGCGAATGTGTTATACCTTTAATGATTTTTATTTTGGATAAGTAAGACTTTACATTGTTTAAAAAGAAAAACTGTGAAACTCTAAAGTTTTGTGTTGATTTTCTTGTCACCCATGAATTCAGTTTTTATCATTTAGAATATTTGTTTTTAAAGTTACCAAAAACCATGCTAGATCCAATGGGAATTTGGAGCTACCAGGTTCATAGTATAAATGTGAGTGATTGCTATATTTCACAATTCCTATGTGAGATTATTTTGTACAACAAAGCTGTTTGCAGGGAGTATTGTTGTTGTGTATGATTTATTGGTGTGTGCTTTCTTTCCACCAAACAGGTTGATGTCCGAAAATCCACCCCCTCTGTGGTTGACCGGCTTCAGAGGCAGATAATCATAGCTGACTGTCAGGTTTACCTGGCGGTGCTTTCGTTTGTAAAACAGGAATTGTCAGGTATGCTGAAGTGTTATTTTTAATGGCTTAAAAGATTCAGTGCACATACTCAGTAATACTCTTCCTATTTCAGTCTTTGAAAACATGTGACACCTCTTTAGGGTGTGATACCAATTTATTACTTGGGAACTTGAAACCATAAGTGCTGACTGTATGTTTAACAGAGTTTTAGTCCCAAAGTCTGTGCTTCATCCTCTTGTCTCAAGATAATTCTGTCATTCTTAGAGAAATTACCAGTGCTTTATATATATATATAGATAGATATAAATAGATAGATAGATAGATACAGAATACCTTTTCTTTATGGGAATCAAGTTGTGATAATAACCTTTAAAGTGAAATATAACTGGTTTAAATTTAAGGCTTCAGGAAATTGTTATTGAAGGCCTGAGTGCATTAAAGGATTTCAAGTACATTAGGAAATCATTAGAGATCATTAAGGATTTGCTAACATGCTGGAATGACCTGCATTTTAACAACCTTTGTGAGGGATATAAACTAATTTCTTAATTAGTTTGTCCAAGAAAAATGTTTTCCAGGCTTCTGTAGCTTTTATTTCTTCAGCAAAATAGACTCAAATGAGTCTCTAATACCTTGCTGTAAGACTACGTCTAAAACTGACCTAATTCTTTTGCTTATGTGGTTATGTTGTCTTTCTCATACTGACAGCAGAAACCTGCCACTTTAGTGGATAGGATTTACTTGAAAAAAATGAAAATTCAAAAAGAAAGTCAATTAAAGTTCACAGTCAGAAAAGGATTTTCTCCCAAACCATAAAGGAAGAAGGATATAGTTCCATTAAATTATGACATACATTTTTCTTTCTTGACTACCAGAAACCACTTTTCCCCCTTTTTCTTCTCTCTCTTTTTCTCTGTCTCTCTCCCTGTCTCTGTATCTGTCTGTATCTCATACTTGAGGATGCTTTGTTCCTATTTGGTTCAAGTCAAAAGTGAAATTTAACTTTTATTTTGACCTCCAAAATTTGGACTTCCTGGAATTTATCCTTTTAAATATGTTCTATCATAGACATTTGCTGTTTTTGCTATGAATTCAATTATTATTATTATTATTTTTCTTTGTTTAACCTTCTCAGGACTCTCCCAATACCTTACTTACATGGTCAAGAACCCATAGCTCATATGAACTTTTTATAATGCAGTAATGTGAAATTCCCCATTCGGAGCTCTGCACTGACCCAGATATAAAAGAGCAGCAGAGCTTATCTGCACCTCTTTGGTGAAGACAGGAGCTCCCTGTGATTCTGCGATTCCTTTCCTGATACTCAAGGACTCTTGTAAGGAGCTAATTTTAGCCATTAAGAAAATATCTGTTGAGAGAGCAAGATAAAGCAATTATAATACAATTTATAAGTGCGAAAGTATATCATAATTTTAAAAATGAGTACTTTATTTGTTCATTCATTGATCTATTCCACAAATATTTATCGAGCTCATACTGTGTGCTTAAGCACTGTGTTAGGTGATCAAACACAGGCCGCGGTCCTTGCCCTCATGAAGTTTAGAACCATCAGCTTATCTTATTGATTTTTAAAATCATTCCAGTTGTAAATTTACTAAATATTATTATGGGAAAGTTTGAAAAGATAGAAAAATACAGAAAAAGGGAAGTCATCATCTCTGCTTTTATCACTTAAAACACTTCATTTGTTAATGATCTGCTTTATGTTCCTCTGTTGCTTTTGTTTTTTACAAATTGAATCTATAGTGTTTTGTGTCCTATTTTTCCCTTTTAAATTATACTTTGGATATTTTCCCTATGACTCAGTTTCAGAATAGAATTTTATTTATTTATTTTTTTAGAGATGGAATCTTGCTCTGTGGCTCAGGCTGACTTGAGTGTGCAATGGTGCAATCATAGCTCACTACAGCTTCGAACTCCTGGCTTCAAATGATCCTACTGCTTCATCCTCCCAAGTAGTTAGGACTACAGGTGTGTGCCACCGTGCCCTGCTAATTTTTTTTTCATTTTTTTGTAGAGATGGGGTCTTGCTATGTTGCCCAGGCTGGTCTTGAACTCCTGGCCTCAAGTAATCCTCACACCTCAGCCTCCCAAAGTGCTGGGATTATAGGCATGAGCCACTGAGCCTGGCCCAGAATAGAATCTTAAATAATAGCATACTAGTTTATTATATGGTTGTGCCATATTTATTTAATAAATTCCTCTTAGACATTTAGATGTTCTTCGCTATGTATTTTTTGGTTATTATTTGGGTATTATTATTATATTTTATCCATAAACTGTATTTCTCTCAAATTGCCTTCATGGCTTTTACCCATTCTTTTAATAGTTTGATATTAATCAATTATTTAATCCTATTTATCACAAATCTTTAACAGCATTCTTGGTTCTTCCCGAAGCCCTATGCTTTCTTGAATGTGATATTGACATTAAAGTGAAATTCTCACAGTCATGAAAGCTCCCAGGTTCTAACAGATATATGTAATGGTTATTTGCTTTGTGAATAGCTTGGCATTTGCTTCAAACAAACAAACATAACCAACAATGGGCTTTATTTGCCTTTCAGACACCCATTGTGTTAATAAACTAGAAGTAATTTGTTTACTTCATTGTTGGAATCTATTTCTTAGAAAATATTTTTGGTGGATAATTTTCTATGAAAAAAACCCCATAAACCTCCTTCTGAAGACACGTGTTATGGATGGGCCTCTGCACCCCTTGAGTGGGCAGCACAGAAGGGCGGGGGGTGTACACACTGACTGGACCTCCAGTAGGGGCGAGTCAGTGTGAATTTTTAATGCTTCATACTTTCAAAAAAGCTCATGTTTATCTCATTTAAATTTCTTTGTAATGAATTGCCCCATCATCTCTCTTCATTTTCCCATACTTTTTTATGTCTTTTTAATTTACTCTATTACACAAGAGTCTTTTTTTTTTTTTTTTTTTTGCTGTAAACCTATATTACTTTTGTGATAAAAATAAGTTATTTTTGAAACCTATTTTATGGCCTTTACCACCTTGTTTTATCATAAGTTTCCTTCATTTCCTTTTGGAGTTGAAGAAAGGGCCCATGTCTTCCTCACCTTTGTATTCTTGGCATAGCATATGCTCAGAGAATTGTCCTTGAATGAGATTGTTCTCCTTATGTGACAGGTGAGATGGTTGAGGATGAATGAGTCACACATCTTGTTGGTGATGACAGACCCAGGGCTGGAGCCCTGATTTTCCTGTTTCCTCACTGAATTCCTAGTGTTCTCACCATTTCCCCATCACCTTAGTTTGGTTACTTGTGCCACCACCTTTCTGGTGGCCCAGTGACCCAAGTTTCTCAGGGCTTTCTCCCTCACCTGCTCCCTGTGCCCTGGGAAGCTAGCCCTGAGATAGAGCAGGAGCCGCCCACTGCCTCCCACTGCCTCTTGCTGTCCTCCGGTCCACACTCTCTGCGTTGCTGCTGGAACCACCTTCCGAAAACCCCTTACATCTGTGCTTTGAATGCCAGGCTGGCCTTCCTCGCCTGCAAGGTAAAGTTCCAGTTCCTCTTTTGGGTGCCATGTAAGAACCTGTCCCCTTCCTGGCCTGCTGCCCTCCCGTACCTCTATCTAGCACCCAGAGCTCCTCACCATCCCCCGAATCCCTCTGCCACCTCGTGCCTTTGTTCAGCCTCTCCCCTCGGCTTGGACGCCTGCACCCCTTTGCTCTTTCTCTCTTGCCTGGTGGAGTGCAGCCCAGGCCTCCTTCCTCCCTGCACTCCCTCCCCATGGACTTCATCAGCCTGGCCTTTGTTGCTCTGCCACGTGTACTGGGTACATCGCCAGGTACAGCAGCCACCACACAGCAACACGAACTTTATTTACGTGTCCGCCTAAAGCGTTAGACAGTAAATCCTTCAGAGCAGGGACTGTGTCCGTCCACCTGCTGTTTTACCCTCTGTCCCACATTCACTGAGCACTTACTCCGTGTCAGATGCTGTGAGACCATACATGCTGGTGGTCTAGATGTGGATGAGATGCAGCTCTTGCCCTGGGGGAGCTCATGGTTTGGCGAGAAAAGATAAGTAAGTAAGTTCTAATTCAGGGAGATACTTTAACCAGTGGACGTATAAGTTTGTCACAGAGGTTGCAGAGGAAATGAGTGATTCCGAACCTTTGGGAAGGAAGATCAGGACCCCTGATCCTGTCCCCCAGCAGGGTTATAAAGAATGAAGGTCCATTTCCCTCTCCACGTCCCGGGCAGCTGTGGTGCCTTTGTGTAGCACGTGGTGGTGGGTGCATTATGTGAATTAAAGGGAGGGAGTGGAAGAAAGGCAACACCATCCAGGAAAGATAGTGGGATTGGAGAAGTGCACCTATTAGAAGTCTGTTGAGGAGGAGGTGGGCTGACCAGTGAAACTTAATTGTCTTTTGTCCTTCGAAGTCTATGATTTGGGTCACAAGAAAGGAAGCCAGAATTTACCTTCCCCTGTGGGGCTAAGCAGCCTCATTCTAGGACAGGTGAACAGACAGGATGCTATGGCAGGTGCGCTCACCAGATACAATCTCCCTGAAAAATGACAAAATTTCTTCCAAGATCAATTTAGGGTAACTTGATACATTCATTTTCCAGGTGACTCTTGTCCTTTCCTAGGAAGGACTTCCACCCCCATACAGGGCAGGGTTTCCTATCTGCCCTCCAGCTCTCTGCTGATTGCCGCCTGGCCCTAATAGGGTGGGACAAGTTGTCTGTGGTTTTCTGCTCTCTCTGCCTCCTTCCACAGGCCCAGGGAGATAAGGATGGCCGAATGATTTAGAGGAGCGGATGGCAGGCAATGCGGAGTGTGGGGCTCTTGAGTGCTATGTTCTCTGCTTGTCGGGAAGATGTGTGCTCGTTGGCTGCATTGCTGTGTGGAGCTGCCAGAGTGTCTCCTATGGTGGCTGCAGTGCAGGGCATGCTGCTCTCTGCTGCGTCCTCCCTTGACCTTTGCCTCAACCGGTGGGGTCTGGCTGTGGCTGGAGGGTTCAGAGTTTGGGATGGGAAGTAGGACAAGTCCTGGGAAACCTGTTCAGTGCCAAGTTGAACACAGGAAAGTAGTATAGGTCATTAAATATGACATGTCCGATTTCAAATCAAGCATATCTCAAACAAAGAAGCAGTACAATTAATCAAAGTTTGCACCTAAACTATCGACATAGTTTTGCCATCTCAATAGTAGCTTGTTTATGCCAGCAGCAAAGAAACCTGGAGAGCAAGTGGCAAAAAAAATGTGAAAGGTGTTTTCCACAGCTTGTTGAGAATTAAATATTTTTTGCTGCAAGAAATGGTCCAAAGCCTGGAAGATGTGGTAGGCAGTTGGTGTAAGGTCTGGTGAATATAGTAGATGACAGAAAGTTTCCAAGTCCAGCTGCTATAGTTTGAGCAGCACTGTTTGTGTGACATGTGGTCGAGTGTTGTCTTGCAAGAGGATTGGCCTGTGTCTGTTGACCAAACTGTGCTGCTTAATGGCAAGCATCCTCATCATTTTGTCCAATTGGTTGCAGTAGACATCCGCTGTAATTGATTGACCAGGTTTCATGAAGCTGTAGTAGATAATACCAATGCTGGACCACCAAACAGACACCATTAGCTTTTTCTGATAAATATCTGGTTTTGGACTGTGTTTCAGCACTTCATCTTTATCCAACCATTGTGCCAAATGCTTGCGATTCTCAAAAAGAAACCATTTTTCATCACATGTAACAATATGGTATAGAAACGGTTCGCCTTTATGTCGTGATAGCAAAGAAAGGCAATCTCCGAGATGATTTCTCCTCTGGTGCTTATTTAATTCATGCGGAACCCATCTATCCAGCTTCTTTTCCTTGCCCATTTGTTTCAAATGGTCCGATTTTGTTGGAATAGTAACGTCAAACCTTGCTACTAATTCACATGTAGGTTGAGATGAATTCGTTGCCACTACGGCTTTCAGCTCATCATTAGCCACCTTGGTGTCAGGTTGTCCATGTGGCTCATTTTCCAGATTAGAATCACCAGAACGTAACTTCACAAACCACCGACCTACTGTGCGTTCATTAGCCACATCTTTCCCAAACACTTTGTTGATATTTTGAGCTGTCTGTGCTGCATTGGTTCTGCGATGGAACTCATATTTGAAAATAACACAAATTTTTAATGTATCCATGGTTTCACAAAAATTGCTCTAAAAAAAACTTTGAAAGATAATCACAAGCCGAATTGTGCATTTGAAAGACCGAGGATGTCCTTCACAATAAAAATAAAACAAAAAGTGTCAAAGTGAAATGTCAGAGATATCAACTGTCTAACTTAGTACTTAAGGAAATTGGATATTTCATACTTAATAACCCTAATAAAAGCAAAATCTCTCTTGTTGTGTGTAATAAGGTTTTTTTTGCACATATTTCAATTTATAATCTTTAACTCAGTTCAAAACTTTGGGTTCTATTTCCCTGGCTCAAATTAAGGGCCTTAAAGCTTGTTCTTACTGAGTGTTTAACATGTCCTTTTAGACATCAGCACTGATGCTCCTATCTTAAGCATGAAATTAAAGACGTGTTGAATTCTTTTCATTTTTATCCTATAAAAATGAGGATTTTGCTATGTAGTTTTCATGTTTTATTGACTAAGTTCCATGTAGTCAGAAGCTGGTGGATTCTGGTGTTTGTTGTCTCCAGTTCTACCATCCATTTTTGTAATTCCTCACCTGAGATCCAGCTTGTCACAATTCATTTCTCTAACTGTACTCTCTTCAACCCCAATTTCAGACATTTCCATTTCTCTGGTAGCAGGTGTTCCCTCCTCAGCTGTACGTGCTCTCTGTTGTCCCAGGGTGTCCCCTGTGTCACTCTGCCTCTGAACAGCTTGCCCATCTGCTCCTTCGTACTCACACTTCTGTTCCTTTCTCCCGGAACATTGCCTTTCCCTTCATGCAAGCTCCGCTTCCTGCAATAAGGCTAAGGTAGCCTGGAAAATACAGGATAACATGGAGTTACATTTTTCCCTCCAAATTTCCAGTTAGAGATAGCGATGGGAGGGGGTAAAGTTTCATACCGAAATCCTGCCATACTTATTCTGCACTTTTAAATTTATTTATGTATTTATTACATGGAAAACAATGTAATGACAAAAAAGGAAATAAAAAAGGACAATTCACTCATAATCTCACCATTATTTGTTTTCATTCTTATAGATATGGCCCAGAGGATCATTTAAACAAATATATATTTATTTAAATATATATTTAATAAAATATAATGTTGTATGCTTCTTTTTTTCATTTATGTTTGTTTTCTTATTTTATTGTGGGCATTTGGAGGGCCTGGATTATGTTTTATAGTTCTTTCATGTCCCTCAGATGCCAAGCACAGTCCCAGGCATGTAATATAAACTTAATTAATAGTTGATTAATATTTTTAGGGTTTTGTAAATTGTCTTTTGTTATCTGTAGCCAATGATTATCTGTTTTCAATCGGATCCCAAAGACTTTTGTGTTTTCAAGAATATATATATATATATATATATATATATATATATTCTAGTTTCCTATTTATTCTTTTTCTGCCTTTCTATTAAATCTTCAGCTCTTTGGACCAGAACTGAGAACCATCTTTCTTGTTTGTAGGCACGTAAGATGAATCCAAAATTTAAACCACTGTGTTAGTATACAAGAAGCTCCAGGGTTTTCTCAAACCTGTCTTTTCCCATCGTACTTCCATTTAGGAGGGAAAAAAGTCATTGAGCCTCTTAAAGGAAGAATCACCCAGAACGGTGCCTGAAATGTAGTGTTTGTACAGTAAATAGTTCTGTTAAATTAAACCAACTGAAAGGAAATTGTTTCAAATGTGTATTACTTTTATCATTATAAAGTTACAAAAATAGTTCCCTTTAAAAAAAATTTATGAACTAATTTATTTTACTTGTTCATTCTAGCTCATAGCATTCTTTTCAGTGGACGTAGACTGTAGGCCATTAATCACTCAGAACATGCAGCACGGTTGTGTTTTTAATTGTGATCCCATAGGAGATATGGGCATCGTTTGTCAGAAAATTGATCTTCTTAAGTAAACCAATAGCTTGATACCCATGGATTGAGGGGTCCCCAAGACCACCCCCAGCTTTGATGATTTGCTTGGGGACTCGGCATATAGTCATCCTCACAGCTGCGATTTCTTACGGCAAAAGTATACAAAGCAAAATAAGAAAGGGAAAAGGCATGTAGAGTGAGGCCCAGGGGAAACCAGGCACAAGCTTCCAAGGATCTGTTCTTGCTGAGTCACACGGGACACATTCAATTCCCCCAACACCGAGTTGTGACAACACAAATGAAATGTTACCAACCAGCGAATCCCATTAGAGACTTAGTGCCCAGAGTTTTTACTGGGGCCTAATGATGTAGGCACCGCCCTGCCTGGCACATACTCAAATTCCAGACCCTCAGAAATAAAGCAGACGTTTGGTATAAACCCTATTGCTCGTACAGTTTAGACACACACGGTGAGCCATTCTTACCAGTTCTGGGAGTGCTAAGAACTTTGCAAGTTTGCGGTTCAGCCAAGGGCCAACTTGGTTAGCAGTCCTTTTGAAGGGTAGCCATCAGGCCTACTATGTTAACTCTTTTCTGCACATACCATATATTCTCATATCACCTTCAATTCAGAGATTAGGCACTTGTAAATCAGATTTTTATTTTATATTGCATATTTTCTGAAATTTAAAAATAACATTTTAAAACCTTATTTTCCTGCTGTTCTAAAAGACCTGGAAGTCTGTGACAGTTCATGTTGTCCCATTGTACATGAGAGTCAGAGCCGGTATCATATTAGTGACAGTGCCTAGTGGATAAGCTCTCTTGTAGTTGTGAGAGTTTTATTCTACATAGGATTCCCTACAGACAAGCCTTTCCTCAAGAATGTGGTGACGATGCTCTCAGATAATCACATATAAATCGACCTCCCCCTACCCCCACTATTCCCCTGAAGGTGAAATGTTCTTAGGAGAGTTGACAGCAAGGTCCTGAGGGTTTGTCTGAGGGCCAGTGGGCCAGGGATGGCGGTAAATCCCACGTCTTACCTCTTATTCTTGAAGTCTTCTTTGTGTCCATGTTCTTGAGTGGGCTCTAGTAAGAAAAATTGGCCTAATGGGAAATAATAGAAGTGGCTTTAATAACAGATTTTCACCCTATGATGTGCAGTGACTTTTTCTTTGCTACCCTCCTCACTGGGAGTCCCTCTGGATTGGGACCATGGGTAAATGCCATTGTCATAGACCAGATAAAGCCATTCTACTAAGGCATGTTAAGCCACACAGTAGACATCAGATCTAGGCAAATATGGGATTCTTTGCATTTCTGCATTTAACATGAATGACTTTTTTGGTAATAAACTGGCCATTTTTTTACGCAGTAAATATCAATTAATCCTTTTTGTTTGCTTGTTTTATTTTTTGGCAAGATGCCATGCTTGGTGCTTGGGTATAAATTTAACGGTAAACTAGGCTAAGAAGGAAACACAGGGTAGACAAATGTATGATTTAAAAAAGAGGTTTATTAGGAAAGCACCACAGTAGTTAAGAAACGTGGTGGAGGCTTTCACAGAACACATGGAAAAAAAAAAAGTTGGGTTCAAGTGATGCATTCATTCATTCTTTCTTTCTTTCAGCATGTATTATATACTCTGCCCTAGCTACTGCATGCGAGGCTTGATGAAACAATGAACAAAAAACACATGGCTTTTGCCAGTGGTCATCTAGCGTAGTGAAGAGAAACCAAAAAGAAATAAGGTATTTCAGTAAGCACTATGAAGAAAAAAAGGGTGCAGTGATAGCTAATAATTTTTATGTTTTTAAATTTTTACTTGACTTTTGGATTATTTTTCAATATCCTTTACTATTCACATATAAAAATTATTTTGAAGGCTTGTTTTTGAATGCTTTTCTCTCCTTCTCTTTTTAGCCTATATAAAAGGTGGGTGGATCCTTAGGAAGGCCTGGAAGATTTACAATAAATGCTATCTGGACATCAATGCCCTTCAGGAGCTACATCAGAAGAAGCTAACTGAAGAGTCCTTGGCTTCTGATGCTGCAAATGATAATCACATTGTGGCTGAAGGGGTGTCTGAGGAATCTCTAAACAGACTGAAAGGTGCTGTTAGCTTTGGATATGGCCTTTTTCACCTTTGCATATCCATGGTGCCCCCAAACCTGCTCAAAATCATCAACCTGCTGGGTTTTCCTGGAGACCGCCTACAGGGGCTTTCTTCACTGATGTATGCAAGCGAAAGTAAGGACATGAAGGCCCCTTTAGCTACGTGAGTAGCTATATTGCAATGCTTTGGTAGATACTATAGTGTTGAAAGTAAGTAAACCACAATCAAAGACTTTAAAGGAAACTTCAAGTAAAATGATGACTGGTTGACAGGATGTGTGCCTTGTCTTACAGTGTAACACCGGGGACCGTGTTCCATGGTGGTGGTGGCAGTTTTGACTTTAGTTAGGGAACAAGGCACTGTTCATAAGTCTCATGACTCCTGTATTTTAAACTGGTTAAGTGACCTTATCTTTCAACCTCAAATGGTTTTTTAAGCAGTTCTTTTGACTTTGACCAGAGTCACCGAGATTCATGATCCTGATTTTTGGACTCAGGAGACAAAAAAGATCAGCCTTTTCTGTTGTTCTGAAATTTTTATTCTTATGAAGAATCCTCATGTTGGGTAATTTTGCTGGATGATATAGGTGGTCAATTGGTTTCTTATATGTGGCCTGGATATTTTGTGCTATTCCACTAAATTAAGTCATGTTACTTAGACTGAACTTATTCGTGTTCAGTCTAAACGTAAATAAAAATTATTTAAACCAGAGAACATGGGGAAGCTGATGTAATATCTAGAGTGAGGATTCACCCATTTCTACGTCAGTTAAAAGTGATGTGACTTTTTTTTTAATCTGGCAAATATCTACCATTTGTGATTTAATGACCAGATGTTCATTGTCCAACACTATACCACTTGTCAAAATTTTCCCAAAAAATCTTGATATCACAGAGGACTTTAGCACTATTTCTACTTGGGTCACTATTGAGAAATTTGGATGTTAACTCCTAGTTGATAGCTACTAAAAATATCATTAATGTTTCATTTAAAAAATATTTGTGCCTCCCCAAACTCATTTACACAAACAGCAGTCCTTTGTTAATTTGAATGAACAGATTTGTAACTTGTGATCATTTGTCTCTATATATCTTAATATTATTTTGTGCTTATACCTGAGAAAGAAGTGAATGGAGTTAATAATGTAAATAGTATGAGCTCCACAGGAGGATGAAATTTACGAGCATACCAGAAGTTTCATTTACATAAAAATATTTGATATGTTGGTTAAACATTTTTCTCTATTCATGAAAGCAAATCCCAGTGAACCTGTTTTGTTTATTTAGTTTAACATGGCATTTTTCTTGAAAGTAATGGGTTTCAAGTAAGGGAATTTTAAGTAATTTATTTATTAGCTTGTCTTTTAAATTGAACATCCTCGAAGGCCAGAGCAAGGGTTGGCAGGATGCTGTCATGGTCCTGTCACTAATGTAGTCTCATTTGTGTCTGTGGTTTCTATATTTAAATTTGAGTTCTAGCTTACACCCTGACCTTTGTGAGCATAAGGGAAGCCAACATTTTCCTTTTGCAAAAAGAGTAAAGCTTTTCTTACGAGGGGACAGTAAATTCATGGTCACCAGTTCCTATTTCAAATGTGTGCATTGATGAGCAAGGTGTAGAATTTGGAGATTTTAATCAGTCATCTCTTGAGCGATCCATCCAGAAGGTTCAGAAAAGCTAAATACTTCTCTTACCTTATTATCATCTCACCTGATAGAAGGATGTGTATATGATGATTTCTATGTTGTGCTAAAGTTGCAGTTTTCCAAATATTGACAAAACTAAAATGGGGAAGACATTCTGATTTTACTTCTTCAAAAACTGCATAGTAAGTTTTTTTTGGAAAGAGTGTGTGTTAGAAGAACATGTGCTTATTTTTTAAAAAATAGAAACAACATAAGAAAAATGATTTGCTCAAAATTTGTCTCCTTCTTTTAGGTTAGCACTGCTCTGGTACCATACCGTGGTCCGCCCGTTTTTTGCCTTGGATGGCAGTGATAACAAAGCAGGCCTGGATGAAGCTAAGGAAATTCTCCTCAAAAAAGAAGCTGCTTACCCCAATTCTTCCCTCTTTATGTTTTTCAAGGGACGGATACAACGATTAGAGGTACTGTACCTTCCTCTTCTTTTTAAAATAATCTCTAATTCTCACTTGAGGACTAATATCAAAACAAGCCAGAATGTCACAGGGCCCGGGAACATTTTGTTCTTTTGCTTTTCGTTGTGTCATTGCTAAGGAAGAACCTTCCAGGAATGCAGGATGTTAGTCAGTTACCGTCTGTTCAGGAGACAAGGGCGAAGGAGGGGTACGATTCTTGCTTGGTAGTGAGACGAGATTGGTGTACTTGAAGCTTAAGGTTTGTAGCATTATTAAGTCCTCTTAGTTGAAAACCACAAAATACAATTTTTTCCCTCTCTGAGTTACTAATAATGTATTTCTAAATTTTGGTCCTGGCTAACAATTGATTTATACAAAAGTTACTACCTTAAATGTCAGGGCAGCATCAGCTTTAAAATAATAGTGGCTTTTGTCACATTTTCATGTGCTTAATTTGGCTTGAAACTATGTCAAGAACTTTACACACGCTACCCATTTAATTCTCAGAACAACTCTATGACATAGATGTAAATTTGTCATCTGAATGGTATAGGGAAAAAAAACCAAAAACAAAAACAGGAATCTGAGAGGACTTCAGGTAACTTCCTGAGTTCACCCAGTGAGTGAGCCCGGATTGTCTCCCTCCAATACGAGAAATGCCCTGATGTTTCGAAGATTCTCCTTCTCCTTTGCATCTCTGTTTTATCTGCTTGCTTGAGGTTATGAGGGTTTGTAGAAAAATAACAATACAAGAAATCAGTCATGTGTATGAAAGAAGGTTGCTGTTATGCTGGGTGCACCGTCCTTGTCCTTACCAATGGTCACCAGTGAATCGGTTTGAGGTTTTAACATCATCTGTGCCCCAGTTTTCCAGGCACTCTGCAAGTCAGCCCCCAGCAAACCCTATGAGTCCCTTTGAAGATTTTTGCCTAGGAGGGCTTTTATGGGCACAGGGATGATTTGTTCATTGGGTGGGGGTGGCAGTGAGGGAATGAAGTTAAATCACTTCCCCAATCATTTTATTCCTTTGCAAAGTGACTTCTTAAATCTGAGGACTCCTCAGAACAATTCTCTTAACTTTCTCTAAGCCCTTTATATGTGGAAGATGTATTTTGGAGATTATACCAATAGTTTATAAATGAAATATAGTGCAGAAAGCTCACCAGGATCTGAATTATTTAAACCCATGTCTAAACCCATGTCCAACTTATTTTTCTTCTCATTATCTTGAAACAGTTTTATTTGCATTCAGGCTCGTAAGCCTTTGGTTGTATTTCTCCCTTTTTTCTCTTGCTTTTAAAAACATAGTTCTGGTCTATTTGTCAACATTCTTTCCCTTAAAATTTAGGGTTAGGGCCCTACTTATAGGGAAAGATGTTCAGACTGTTGAAGTTTCTGTATTCCCTTGGGTTTGCGCAGGAGGAAATAACAATGTAAAAGAAAATTTTAAATTGACTAAGCCATCTGTGAAATCAAAGGTAGGTACAGGATGAGTGTTTTCACAGATTTAAATTTCTTAAAGGACAGACATTATACATTTTGAATAGCTTTGAGTGTGACAATACTAGATTCAGTGTTCGGCAGAGATTTGCAGGGGTAAAAGCCTGAAGTTTAAAATTGTGAGCAACAGGGCAGTGAGGTACCGTAGCAGTAGGCATTTATTGATTAGAATTATCTCCCTTTACTCTACTGATGAATGAATGCTCTAAATTGGGTTTTGAAGCTGTTAAACAGAAATATAAAAGTCAATATTTATATTTTTTCATGCTTGCAGTTGGAGTTAATTTTTCATTTTAAAACAAAAATTGGTTAAACTGATAATTTTTTTTGCCAAAAAACTTAATTTGGCATGGTTTTAGTTTGTGCCACGATTAATTCCTATAAGGGACTGCGTGAGTGCTAAAAGTAAGTGATCATTCATTGTTGTTGGGATGGTTCTAGAAATAAGGAAGCCACAGTTCCAACAAAGGATTCCTATAAATATGCTCCTTGGAGGTGCATAGTCCACATTGTAGCTCTTAGCAAATATTCAATCTCTTTGGGGTAGATAATTCTGATCAGAGCACAGAGGGTAGATATTAGAACTTCTTGATGGTGGAATGGCTTGCTTACTTAACTGGTATTTGGTTTTAAGAAAAAGGACACAAGATCTGTCATTGCTCTTGTTTAGTGAGCTGCTGCTTCAGGGCCAAGCAAAATGTGGTAAGTGTTTCTGTTTGGTTCTTCCCAAAGGTCCAGAGGATGAAAAGATTTTAGGGCTAACCTGAAATGTGGTTGTTATTATCCTCAAGGTGCCCAGACACCAGTGTTTCATTGATCTTCCCAAGTACATATGTAGGAAGGCATCAGATGGTGGCATGCTTCATTTGCAGAGGGCCTCTAAGGCCTTGACTCAGTTTATGAAAACATGCATGGCTCAGATGATTAATTTGCTTGCAAGTAATCTTTTTTCTTTTCAGTGAACCTTTATGTTAGAGATAGGGCCTCGAGTTCTTATCAACACGCACTCACAGATGTGGCCTTGGGGCTCTAATTTAGGCAGGTGCATCATATGACACCAACTTAGTTTCCTCAGTGACTCAGATTCTGCAAAAGTATTTGAACAGCTGCTTTTGTGTAAGCTTGCTATCATTCAGGGTGACCAGTGCAGCATGTGCCCATCAGTTTCATTTTCCTGTGCTCTTTATTTGCAAATCATGTGCAGTGTCCACTTTCTCTGTTAATTTCATTAATGACTTTTTATATACTTTGCCCTTCGTTGTTTGGATCTATTTAGAAGGCATATGGGAGGACGATTTCTTTAACAGATCTGCTCCTATCCTGCCACTCACATATACCTGGTTGAAATGGCTTCAGTAGCTTCTGTTGTTGTGGCCTCTCTTGAACTTGCAGTGAAATGCTACGCTTTGGTGGTGCTTGGCGTCCATTTGCACCTCAGCTGGTGAGCACAGGATTTTCTTTGCCTGACTGCAGGAAGAATTCTCTTTCCTCGTTGCCTCTGCTTCTCCCCGCTGCGTGTCTGCAATACCCCCACCTTGAACCTTCCCTGCTCCTTGTGTTGTCCTTACTATTTACCTTGTCTTCCTTAAGTCGTCCAGTGTGTGTGTGTGTGTGTGTGTGTGTGTGTGTGTGTGTGTGTGTACCTGTCACGTTGCTGGGAGGAATGAATGGGTTAATACAGTACCTAGCATGTGGTAAACTCTAAGTAATGGTGTGATGGTTGCTGTTATTCCTGCTGAGTGCTTAAGCCTGGGAAGTCGAGTATCAAATCTTCTTTTTCATTTTTTTTTCTTTTTGGGAGAAAGAACTTGTTTTGATGTTGAGAGCTGTCAGGAAAGCGAGGCCTGTGATTGGCAAAATGGGTGTGGAGGTAGCAATAGGGGCTGTCAGTATTATACAGCTATTAACTCTTCCCTGAATTTCTATAATGCAAACAGCTATTAAGAAGTGGACCTATGTGTTACATAGTAATCTCAATTTTCAAATGTGAATTGGTACTTACAATTTTGAATTTTGTATTTTTCATTAATGTTCACTTAATTTTCATCCAGTTAAACTTACAGTCGTGTTAAGTCCATTAAGATACAAGTGATTAATGAGTATTTTTCTTTCTTTCTTGATTATTTTTAAAGTATTAGGAACAAGTCTATATTTTAGTGAACTATTTTTATTTTTTATCATCTACCCTTTATTATTACCCTTTATTATTTATTATCTACCCTTCTTTTTTCTTTTTTTCTTTATGTAATATAGATTTGCACAACTTTTCTCCCCTCCAACTTTAACAATCTGCTTTGTATATAACATACATATGTATGTATTTATTTTTCTGTACATACATACATACTTTTGTATACACACATCATATGGTGTGCCTATTTAGTAATGTCACTAATTTTTAATATTAGTCTATTCATCTCTAAATGCTTAAATATTTGAATGAATGAAAGTAATTTTCTGTAAAGTTAATGACCACATTCTAATGAAGTTGCTATTATGTAAACGTTTTGAGAACTTATTTTGAAACTGTCTCCTGAGCTTGAGCCCATACGTCATGAACATCCTGCATGCTGACATTTTAAAACCTTGGGTTTGGTTTTGGGAAACAAATCTGGGCCTAGCACAGGACTGGCCCTCAATGTATATTTGTTGAACGAATAGATGAGTCTATTGGCAGCAAATCTGTTGCTCGATGTGAGTATTGTCATTTCTTAGTTAAGAAAGGAAGCTGATTATCAAGGACTATCTACTTGTCTTATGTGGCACCTAAATGTGTTTCGAAAGCCAGTTCCAAAGAAGATGGTGCAAAAATGTCTTGATAATTGAATAAGAGGATGGCCTCCTAATAAGAATACTGAATCAAATACTTAAATTCAAATGTCTGGCTAAAGAATCAGTTTCATTTCTTTAGAGTCACACTTCTGTTTCAAAGCAGTGGTTATAAAGAACTGAATTGAATAAATTGAAATGAAGTAAAAAGTAAATGCATTAAATGAAGCTCTGTGCTTTCTGCTGGGCATACTGAAATGAGAATGCATGAGGCCCTATACTTCTGGAGCTGAGACTGGGAGGGCACTTTTACTATAATTGCCTCTCAAACAATTGCAGTAGGACTTCCCGAGGTCAAAGTCGAGATTTGTACAAGGCCTAGAGGCCACGCTGAAGAAGTTACAACGAACTTTATCTATTTGTGTGTATGTGTGTATAATATGTGTCCTGTACGCATGTATCATATATACATGTATGTTATATACACACAGAGACGAACATGGAAAAAACATATTGGTCTATTTGCCTTGTCAGCAGCTCCCAACTATAAATAAGCCGCAGATGTATCCGTGGCTTCCGTGTGTCCGGAATCAAGAATCAAATAATGCGTAGCTCAGGAGGGGCTAGTGTGTCCTACCATTTGGAATGATGCGGCAGGCATAGTCCTGCTTCTGGAACCCTAATTATATATAATCATTCTCTTCTTTGAAGCTGCCTTATTTGTTTGTTTTTCTGCCCTG